AAGTGTCAGCCAAAAATGTGTTCTTCTTTCGCCAATTCCTGATCTATCATCTTTCCAGCTACCCCTGTAGCAAGTTCCTTCATCACGACATGCCCTATTAGTTCTACAACAGCTGCCCATCGGCGGCAGATGGTGACTTCGGGATCAGGAAAACTACTATCTTATCTCGGTCGGTGTCGCGCGTACTTTTTTTTTCCCTTTGTCAAAGCACACGACGGCGTGACAGACGTCGAGGTTGAGCACAAGCCATTAGCTTCGATCCATGACAGGTCTTTTGTTTTTTCTCATTCTGTTTGCTCCGCTGACCGATCATCGTGTTTTCGCTTTCGTTACGGTCCCCGTCTTGGTTTGGATCTTCTTCAGATCACAGCTTTCGACTCCGATCCTGATTTTCTCTCCTTTGCATTATGTATGATGATGATTTGCTGTTCCTGCTTTATTTCTTCTCTTCGAGGGAGGTAGAAGGATATGTAAACGCATGAATTTCTTCCAATCCAACCAAAAAAACATTACAGGCAGGTAGTTACGTTTGGCTTTTGCCAGTACAGCCGAAAACTTTCTTCTTCGCGTTTCTTCCACTTCCTCTTGAGGTGTGAAAAAATAACGCTAAAACCACTACTCTACACACTTTGTTCACTTCACCGAAAGGTTGAGCAAGGTACACTATACAAGATGGCAGCTCAACATGCGACTGTGATGTGCGTGGGCACTATGTTGAACCAGCGCTCGGAGTTCGTTGATACGCAAGAAAAAACATCGCATCTTCCGCGGCGCCAGTGCATTGCTGTTTTTTGGTTGCAAAAAGGAAAATAAAAAGTGCCTGACCGCGCACAGGAGCCCGTTGTTCCTTACTTACTTACACCCTTGTCATGCAGCTACGGGAAAAATGTAGTGGACTAGGAACAGGAAAGAAAAAAAAGCGTCAAGATTTGTCATGCATATAAAAAATCACAAAGCTCTTTGAGTGCGATGTGAGAAGATTTTTGCATAGGATACTCGACTTCTTCTTCGAGGTGCCCGAGAATTTCACCATCGGTGACATGAAGCGTCAGTTTATGCAATGTAAATTTCCTGTACATGTATAAAATGCATGACAAATTTCGCTAACTTGCAGTGTCCAACTTGTCATGCTACACTAGGATTGAAGGCAAGTTTTGTCATGCAGAGACTGCGTTTGTACATGTACAGGAAATTTACTGTGGATACAGTTCGCACAGGAGTTCGGCGCGCCCGTCGTATCACCTGCAAATGTGTCGTCCTCTGGGGGTCGGGATCTTTTGTGTGGTGTAAGGTGCAGCTGCACCGCGTGGGGACACCAGCAGGATAGATGCATTAAATCGATGTTTACTTTATCATGCGGGGAAGCAGCTTGCTATTCAAGATATTTGAATTGATCGGCAATGAAACTAAACACAGATGAGAACCAACAAACCTGCCGCAACATCATAAGTTCGAGCGGTTTGTCATGCGATAGTTAACAACATGACGTGGAAACCTCAAATTTGTTCTGGCTCTGCCCGTGATTTTTTCCCCCCACATTATGATGTTGTGTGGGGTAGTGTAGTTAACGATTCGTTTAGTGTAGTCTGGTTTATCTTTATGGCAACCTCCATGTTGCAGCTCGGCATTTGGCAAATTCCATGTTTT